ATGTTTACATTTCCTAGTTGTTTTCTCTATGGTGGTGGTGGTTATGTGCCATGGAGTTGGTTCTGATTCATAGTGACCTTGCACAGGGTTTCTGAGACTGTAAATCTTTACAGGAGCAGAAAGCCTCATCTTTCTCCCATGGAACTGCTGGTAGTTTTCAACAGCTGACCTTGAGGGTAGCAGCCCAATTCGTAACCACTACGCTACCTAGCAGAGCTCCTTTGTTTTCTCTTTATGATTACTTAAATTATATTTAAAGCTCCAGTAATAGAGATCACGCCTTGTGCTTTGTAAATATCATCACATCTACCTTAAAGTTAATAACAAACTGTAACAATTCAATAAGTGACACATCATCAATTCTCAGATGGTTGCTTTTCATTTTGCCCCACTCAACCCAGAAACCCAGTATCTCTCAGCACTGACACATGCACCAGGACCTCTGGACAGGTGCACGCAGCAACCTCCACATGTGAGCACTTCCTCTCTAAATGCTCCAGTGTGGTTTATATGCACAGTTGTTCTGCACCCTCAAGAAGGTGGGATGATATCTCCAGTTATTGTTGCAACACTCACAGCATCTAAAACAACACTCTCATCCAAATGGACCCTTCAATAGCTGTTGCCTTCTGTCCCATTTTCTACCTCCATCATTGCAACCAATCATGAGATGCAGCAACACCTGGAACCGAAGATCTCTGTAAAGAGAGACCTCGTCATGCCTGCTGGTCACTGACACATGACACTGCTGAAGGAATACAAAATGACACAAAGAATACAGCTGCATAGTTGATTCGGATTCTTCTTGAAAAAGAGCAAAACAGAAATAAATACAAAGATGTCTTAGTGAATCAGTTCTGGGGTCCCTCTAAGTCTGTGTTGGTGTTCTCATTCTTTTTCTGAGAGAGCTGTTTAATGGTGTTTATTTCTGCAGAAGTGAACTTAGGGGTTAGCGTCACATTGTCATAATCAAATTCTTCATCAAGTGAGAAGGGCTGAACTTCATCTCCCAGACACTGTAAGAGGTAAGAAAGGAGGAAAAAGCACACACAATCATTTCAGTGAAGATACAATCGAAAACATAAACTCCCCATAAATAATGAATTAAGCTGTTTTTAGACTTCAGCACTCTCAGCTGATTAAGCTGTTTTTAAGTAAAAGAATAAATTCAATTATTCAATTTGACCTAATTGAAGCCTCTTAATATACCCCATTTGTATCATGCTGCATCTGAATGAATATAATTAACTAATTTTGCTCAAGGCAAGAATCAGAAAGTTTTCCATGCACACCATTCGTTACAGTTTTCCCCCTTGCAGTGTCAGGGCTAGAGACATATCGAGAAACCAAGGGCTATATGGAGTAAAATATAAAAAGATTTGAGACTTCCATCCATTTAAAATACATTTGATCACATACTTTCTTTCACCAATGAAAATTTTCAAAGATAAAAATACTCTGCACTTCATATATGCCTTCAGATAATACCTGTAAGTCTTAGGCCATAAAGATAGGAATTAAAACACATGCAGCTGTTGTTAAGTGTCGTTGAGTCAGTTCTCACCCACTGAGACCCTATAGGACTTCTGAGGAGCAGCTGGTGAGCTTGAACCACCAACCTTGCGGTTCAAATCGACTTTGCAGTCCAGCGCAAATTAACCCACAGTCCCACACCAGGACTCCTTAAAACACATAGTATCACCTTAAATTTAAAAGCCCAGGATCTGTTTTTTCATACCAAGAACTGAATAAATATTATAGAGCTTATCTACAAGTCAGAGCAACAGGAAAAATGCAATAATATTATATTTATTCATAAGCCATGATTTTTAAAGATCTCCTAAAAGAAGGCAGGTAAAAAAGCATATTTTCTAACAAACAAAAAGTGAAAGCCTTTAATCTTATTGTATCACCCCCTAAAAAGCCTCTCCAAAAGCAAATGGTGTGTGATAGAATGAAATCGTCCAGCACCTCTGAAGTAGCTCTATAATACATATGGTGATGCTGAAATAATTGAAAACTATAGTTTATGCAAGAATGAAAAAAATGACCTGAAGTTATAATCAGCTTTAAATAGTCTCGCATGGAAGATGATCTCATTGCGTGGCTTTTGCAAGGTTCATGAAAATGAAGCACACAGCTCAGACACAATGTGCTGGTACTAAAAATGAAAAAGAAATCACAGAAAATACATATGCCCCTCAACTTGGCTATGGATCTGAGTCTCAGTGCTTTGGCAGACATGGAATGGTTGCTCTTCCATAATATAATGTGATCACCTTCCTTCATGTGATCTGATATGATCAGCCAATCAGTTAAAAAGGGTGTCTCCTTGGGGGTGTTGCCTGCCTCCAGAACACAAATGAATGTTCTGACAAAACTCAATCTCTCAACCCTGCTGCGCTCCTCCTGCCCCCCTGGGATGCCAGCCTGCAAACCGCTCCAGTAGACAACCTGCAGTTCTGTGAGCCAAGTGTCGCTTCCAGACTGCCACCTGACCTAGATTCCGGGCTTGCCCACCCCACAACTGGGGAGCATGGTGGCTCAGTAAGATAAGCACTGGACTGCGAACCACAAGGTCAGCAGTTTGAGCCCACTAATTGCTCCACAGGAAAAGGATGAGGTTCTCTGCTCCCTCAAAGATTTACAGCCTTGGAAACCCTATACAGGGTCGTGATGAGTTGGAACTGACTCGATGCCACTAAACAACAGCCTTACAATTGCCTGAACCATTTCCTTGAAGTAAATCTCCTACAGAGAGACAGACAGAAAGACAGATAGCTACAGCTACATTATGACATCATCTGTTCAGCAAGTTATGCCCTGTGGTTCAGCATGTAGTGCTACAACACCCAGTCATCTCACAGCTTCTCTGAATAAAATCATCAAGAAACAAATTTCAGAGACTCAATCATTTCCTCTATTATAAAGATCTCAAGTACTTTCCTGACAATGAAAATGAGGGCACTGTCATTGCAAACCCACCATGTATCAGACACAGGGTTAGGAACCATTCAGACATTAGTGCTAATCTTCAAACAACCCAGTATGCACCCAGTGGGTCATACGCTCCATTTTACAAAGCTCTGAAAGGCTAAGTAACTTGTCTGAGGCTACAAAGTTAGTCAAATAACAACACTGAATCCAGGATTATCTGATTCAGATAGTTTCACCTTCTCAACAAAAATACCAGCAAAAATCAACATTGAAATTTTGACAAAGCTAAGTCAAAAATCTTTGGGAGAAAAAACCTTTTTCTGAAGAAGATGAGCAAGTCCTCTGGCCCATCATTAAATTGGACTTGAGGCTCTTTCAAAGAGCGTCTGTATGCAGGAAGCACATCAGTGTGGAGAGGACTGATCTATACATTTTGATCACTTTGTGAAATGACATTCATCATCATCACAGCCAAAGTGACAATGGGACAATACTGGAAAGATAGGAGCAAATGAAAAAAAAACACAACAAAACAAAACATGAGACAGTATGTTCATCTCTTGAACATAAAATCCAACTTGGTGTCTCCAAGACAAGCCTGAACCAGTTTTCGCTGCTCCTGGAAGGGTCTGAGAAGGAGCCCCATCCCTACTATTGGTACCAAGCTGAAGCTAGGCTTGTTGCCCTTTTATGCCTGGGTAACCTAAAAGGTTGGCGGTTCAAGTCCACACAGGTGTGGCCTTAGAAGAAAGATCTTTCAATCTACTTCCGAAAACTCTGCCGTTGGAAACTTCCCGGAGCACAGTTCTACTCCAGTGCTCACAGGCTTGCCGTGGGTCACAATCAACTCCACAACCACTGGTTTGGAGCCCATATGTCTACTGAGCTTCATGTGGGCCCACTCCACTAGGACTTCGTTGTCCTTAAAAGCTGCCTAGACCTTACCAGTCACGCTCACCAGATGGAGTAACTTTTGCCTCCCCCACCTCCCAATGAGGCTGGAATGCAACTTAAAAACTAGACAAATCGCTGTGCTGTGCTAAAGATCCAATACCATAGTAGGTCCCACACTCCCTCCATACCACAGACAAGCCCCACATACCTTCCTTCTTCCCCTTCATAGTCAATCAATACATGTTGTTGTTTACTATGTATTAGATACTGGGTATGTGCTTTTCAGATGGAGGAAATAAGATACATAATTTCACACGTGTGGATTTGTAAACAGCTCAGGGCTGTTAGACTTAAAGTGTAAGAAGGTGGAGAAGAGCAAGAGATGAAGTTGGTGCCAGATCAAATTGGACCTTTTATATCATTTATACCGGAGACAATGGAAAGCTACTGAAGAGTTTTTGAAATTGTTAAATTCAGTGGGTACTCTTCAGTCTTTATTTTAATGACTCTCTTGGCTGTGTTTGATGTCTTTGATCACTCTTCCTCCTCTGACACTGGCTTCCAATTGGCTCTTTTCCTTTGGTTCTTGGTGTATTTTTCTGTTTGCTTTACCCTACTTCTTTTGGAGTTACTTCCTTTATCCACTTTCTGAGTTGGAGCTTCTTAGGGCCATCTATGCACTTCATATAAAGTGCTTCATTGATTCTGATTATTACTAAGCACCTACAGGCACCATCTGAAGCGCTGGAGACATCCCCAGTTGCTGCTGACAAGTCTATTCTGACTCATGGTGACCCCATGTGTGTCATAGCAGAACTATTGTGTCCCACGAGGTCTTCAATGGCTGAGTTTTCAGAAGTAGAACACCAAGCCTTTCTTCTCAGATGGACTAGACCCTCCAACCTTCCAGCTAGCAGCCATTTGTACAACTCAGGGACTCAGCTAGGTACCAAACAAATAGATGCCCTGCTGTCTTAAGAGGTTAGATCTAGATGGAGCACATTGATGATTAAAAAGAAAGCATGAGACAATATGTTCATCCTTGAACATAAACTTGAAGGGGATGAGACTGGAGTTAGGAGAGCAATTTGTAGACTGGTGAAGCAGCCCAGACAAGAAAAAATGAGAACAAAATACTGGTAGCAGAGATTTCAAAACAATTTGGAGGGTAAGTTGGCAGCACTCCATGACTGGCTGGAAATGGTAAGGGAAAGGGGGAGGATGTAGAAGCAAATGCAGGGGAAGGTAAGTTCTGTTTTTAACGTGCTGAATTTATGGTAGCTGGGTGATTCCAGGTGGAGACAGCCAACAGGCAAATGAATACACATGCTTGAGGCTCACCAAATGATATGAAGCTAGAGACACAGATTTGGTGACCTAAGTGGAAATGCTAATAATTTGAAGGTGAAAAAGGAGTTAAGTATGTAGGTTGGGAAGAACCATGTGCTAATCATGGAACGCTAAGAAGCTCCAACTCAGAAGATGGATGAAGGAAGTAACTCCATAAGAAGTAGGGTAAAGCAAACAGAAAAACACACCAAGAACCAAAGGAAAAGAGCCAATTGGAAGCCAGTGTCAGAGGAGGAAGAGGGATCAAAGACATCAAACACAGCCAAGAGAGTCATTAAAATAAAGACTGAAGAGTACCCACTGGATTTCATAATTATCATGTAACTGGCACCCTTATTTGAAATAGTCAAGTGATTGGAGCCAAGGACATTTTGTTGTCTACTGAATGGGGAATGAAGGAGAAGGAAGCACAGAGAAGGAAGGTAACACAGAGCCTAAGGCTTTATGAAGTCTGGATGATAAGAGGAGAGAAAATAGATAGTAGCCACAGAGGGGGTCAAAGGTTGGGTTTTCTCCTGTTGGGTTTTTTTGTTTTGTTTTTTTCATTTTGTTCATGACGGGGGAGACTTGAACGTGTTTACATGTTGAGGGGAGTGAAGCAGCAAAGAGACAAAGAAAAAAAAGATGCCTACCAAATTGCTCTGGTAGCGTAGTGGTTACGAATCGGGCTGCGAACCTTAAGGTCAGTGGTTCGAAACTACCAGCCACTCCGCGGGAGAAAGATGAGGCTTTCTGCTCCCGTAAAGATTTACACCCTCGGAAACCCTGTACAGGGTCGCTATGGGTCGGAACCGACTCGAAGGCACTTAACAACAACAACAACAACCAAATTACTATATGAGAAATCCAGTCCCAGTAAGTAGCGGGCTGATTTGTCCATTCAGTAAATACTTATTGTATTACTACTATGTACGAGGCATAATACGAGGAGGCTTCAAAAAGATCATGACACAACGGAATTCTGGACTGCATGAATTTTTTGGAGACCCCCTATGTCTCATATGCCTGGTATTGTGCTTAGCATTAGTTCTGACTTTATTGCATTTTAGTAAGTAAGCTTATGAAGACACACATGAATGAATCTCAAGTTGTCCAGAACATGGGACATGCATGTCATTCAAAGTGATATGACTGGTAAAGTCCAATTTAGAAAATATCACTGTGGTTTCTCCCAATGACAAAGGAAGAGCGAGTGAGACTCCTGTTGGTCTTAAATAGAAAGTGGTTACGACAAAATATGGTCACCCTGCCTGACTGGAGAAAGGGAGTATAATAAATCAAAGGGGATGTTAAAATGATTAACAACTATTTTCCTTAAAAGAATATGCTAATATTACACATCCTGTTGTTACAGGCCAATACAGACAGGCTGCATCTCTATGTAGTTCAGCTCTTGACAGTTGTGGCAAGTTTAGGGAATTCTCTTATTTCAAGTTAGGTTCATCTTAGGTTTTTAAGCTACCCATTAGATTACAAACTAAAATTCTGATTTATTTCAAAGAGAAGAATTTGTGCGATGGAACACAAATCCCCTGCTACTAAACAAAAAGCAACTGTGAATTAAGTTATTAACTTGTTATTTTTGCCTAAGGAACTGAGAAAAATATGTGGATTTCAGGTGTCTAATATCAAATCTAATTGAAATCTTTTTGTAGTCTCTTAGGGAATAGAGTTTGTACACTATTACAAAACTGCTAGTGTCCTTAAAATTGCTCATGTGACTTATTCTAGCAGAGAGACTGTTGAAGGAGAAATTATTTTTATTCATAATGCCACACTGGCAAATTAAAGAAAACACAGCTTAATGCTCAATTCAATAAGAGCAGCATTCAGCCGCAGGCTCTCTTACAAAGTAATATGGTAAATAAACCGTCTTTATAGGTAAAAGTTTTTAGAGTCTATTATGATTGCAAGAACAAGAGATCACCTCTTAAAATATCAAAAAACAAAAACAAAAAAACATCTTCTTAATTGGGAACGTTTTTCTATGAAGTTGTTCAAAACATAGAGTAACCAAAGCAAGAAGTTATTCACAAATATAAAGTAAAAAGTTCTTTGGAAATGTATGACTCTAAAGGAAACATACACATACATAAAGACAATGATCAAATTAGATAAAAAACTAAATTGGTCCAATTGATATAAAGTTGATCCATCCTCAATGGACAATTAAGAGAGAGCCAGGGCATCCAGGATAGATTTGCATCTTTGGAGACTGAAGTCACAAGGAAGCAACTACCATTTCTAGCCCAGAAAGAGCCCTTTGGATAAACGTTTACAGGACACATGGCTGGAGGCTGATTATATTCTTTGACTGGAATTGGGTGGTGCTTTAAAATAATACTATTAAGCTAAGGAGGAGTTGGTACAGTATTGTGACTGTAAACAGTTCTGAAAACAATGATTAGCAATTAAAAACCCCAACTATTTTGCTAGGGATATAAAATATATATATACATATATATTTACCCATCTCTGATTTGTGGGTTCGCTCACTCAAACATCGTTCATATAATTTTGATTTCAACCTTGTAAAAATATTCACATTTTTTAAAAGGAATTTATATTCCTTTTAAAGATATAATCATACATACAAGGGCTTCAACTTACAGGCAATTTGAAAATTTCCAGGAATCATTCTGCTTTTGTTAACCCATCAATTAAAGTCATTTTATAGAAGTGCAGACATACTGCCTTGGGCAAATCTGCTGCAAGAGACCTCTTTAAAGTGTTAAAAGCAAAGATGTCACTTGAGGCCCAGGTGTACCCAACTCAAGCCATGGATCCTAACCTGCCCCATATGGTGCGAAGCATGATGAATCTAGGGTAGAATGCAGCTTTGTAAAAGTTAGGTAAAAACAAATGCACGCAGGCTTCCGTTTTATAGAAAAGACAATTAATTACGTGAGTCATGTTCTCAAGTAAGGACAAAAATCTTTCCAAAGATTTTTGAATAATGAATAAGAAACACTGAAGGCTGGTGAAATATGGTGTTGACAAAGAATACTGATGATTACATGGACTGCCAGAAGAGCACACAAATCTGTCTTGGAAAAAGTATAGCCAGAATGCTCCTTAGAAGTGAGGCTGGAAAAACTTCATCTCATGTGCTTTAGCTAGAGTAACAGGAGGAACCAGTCCCTGGAGAAGGACATCATGCTTGGTAAAGTGGAGGCTCTATGAAAAGGAAGCTCCTCCAGGAGATGAACTGGCAAAGTGGTGGCAGGAATGAGTCCAAATATAGCAACGACTGTAAGGGTGCCGCAGGTCCCAGCAGTGTTTCGTCCTGTTAGTCAGAACCAACCGGACAGCACCTAACAACAACATCATAGTAATCATCACCATTCAATGACAGACAATAAATAAGCTGGGTCCTGCTAAAAGTAACTTTGCACTTTTAGCTTCTTACTACTCAGAGAAAGCAATTTATAATCCAAAAAGCACAAAGAAAAGTGGCTATGCCTACTGGTTTCTGTAGTCACCAATGTGCATGTAGAAAAGTTGCAAAATGATGGCCAAAGATGACTTTTAAGTTGAGCATCTGGGAGGGCAGCGGTGTAGCAGGGACACCATCTTCTCCTGCTTTTGAAACCCATGTCTAGATGGCAGACGCCTTGGTGGCTAGATATGAACATATGACTATGTTGGTATAGCGCCAATGAAACATGAGCTAAATGAAGGGTCCTGAGTCCTCAGTCCTAGGGGAGTATGCTGTCCCCATGTCCTTAGCCCCTTTCACTTCAGATTGACACTGACCTGGCTTGGAATATCAGATGAGGACAGCACCCTCAGGAGCAGTGGACACCCACAGAGAAGGGGCAGGGCTGCCAGGTCCCAGGAAAACATTCTCCTCAGACTGTTACCCAAGAGAACTACACCTCTGTCTCCCTGCAGCCACTGAAGTATTACTGGGATTCCCTGTTACAGAATAGTTAAGGTAAGGTAAGCTGGCCATACCCTAACTAATACAAAAGGTTCATAGGACCTGATGATCAACCATGTGAAGAAAAAAGGGGCCAGTGCAGACTGCAAGAGGTGAGAAAAGTGCCCACCCTGTCTATTGCTTTGTCCCAGGTAGCGTTGTCAGGCTGTGTAGCCTACCATAAAACAAATGATTCCTCATAAAAGCATACTTGCTCTATATGTGTAAACAGGAAGATACATGCTACTGATGGATGGCGGTAAGAGGCTCCAACTAAGCAACTTGAATTCTAAGTTTCCCAATTCCGAAAAAAAGATAAAAGCACATGGGCCAGGTACCATTTCTCAGAAAGGACAAGTTACAAGTTTGTGAATCAAGTTTGTGCAGTACCTCTTCCATTGGTTTGCCAGCTCCACTTGTGGTGGTCCTCGGCATGACTTCAGGGGTAAGAAGCTGGCCCGCTGAAGGCATGCAAGAAGGAGCATCATCGCGCATGTCCTGTTCCACTTCTCCAGGAAGGAGCAGCAGCAAATCTGTTGGATACAAAATACTTCATTTGATCTTTTCACCAAGCTCACAAATTGATCATAATCATCTAAAACTCTGCAATGGTTTAAAAAAAAAAAGAAAAGAAAAAGAAACACAGGCCCATTTCATAGTGCCTGTCTAGGTGGAACAAACATAGCTACTAACTGAAAGGTTGGTGGTTCAAACCCACTTGGACGTAGCTCAGAAGAAAACCTGGTGATCTGCTTCCAAAACGTCACAGCCATGAAAACTCTATGGAGCAGTCCTTCTTTGACTCACATGGGATCACCATGAGTCAGAACCAGCTTTCCAAAAATCTTTGGAGAGATTTTTGTGCTTACTTGAGAACATGACTCACGTAATTTTCTTTTCTGTAAAATAGAAGCCTGGGTGCATTTATTTTTACCTAACTATTACAAAGTTGCATTCTACCCAAGAGGTCTGGCAGAAATACTGCTTGCAGGACTAGATTCATCATACCTCTCACCTTCCACTCAATTCCTACTTCTGTAAGAAAATAAAGCAAAAAGATGCTACTTTTGCCTCATTTTCTCATATTTTCCTGAGGGGTGAAGAGAAAGAAAAGAGAGTGATAATTTCATACTGTAACAATATGGCCATATTTCATATGTTGTTGTTAAATGCCATCGAGTCGGTTCCGACCCATAGCAACCCTGTATAGGATTTCCGAGGAGCAGCTAGTGAGCTTGACCACCGATCTTGCAGTTCAAATGGCTTTGCAGTCTGGCACATTAACTCACAGTGCCACACGAGGACTCCAATATTTCATATATATACATACTAAAAAACAATGATGCCAGAGGGAAAGTAGCTTTCAGCAGAGAAAAAATATACTCCGTCATAATCAGAATGCATGGTCTGATCTGCAACCGTTGCAAACAACAACAACAACACGTTCCAGCTTGTTTAGCACAATCATAAGCATTCAATAAGCAATCTGGGTTTCCAGGTTGATCCATTTATTATAAGTGAATATGCTTCCTTAGTTTTGCATGTGTGATAGATAAAGATGTATCACAGCCAACTAGTGATCTCCCAGAGCTTTCCTCAAAAGTGGACCAAGCAAGAAGATAGAAGCACAACAGGCTTTCCCCTTCATCTAAGTTTTCACAGGACCAGAAGGGCTTGCTGGAGCTAGCCAATAACTTGCAGTTGGCTCAGGATGCTGCAGCCTGCTACTCAATGATGATCCTAATTAAGCCACTAATTAAGTTCTCAGTAGAAGTGATTAATTAGCAACAGGCATGCCATGGCTGTTGCCAATGGCAGCAATATAAGGAGATAACTGAGCAGGTATTGGTATTCAAAAACTGAAACTTATTTGAAATGCATCTCTCACAGCACTGCAAATATCACCTTCACAAGCAACAACATAATTACAGAATTCTTAGACTCTAGCAAGAGAACAAAGTCAGACAGCTTAGAAACCAGGAATCTGAATGGGGTGGATAGCAAAGAAGGGAGTTCTACTACTATTAGTTATTGAAATCTTAGAATATGATCTAATTAATCGGCAGAAATAAAAACAATAATAGCCAACACATTAGTACCCAACACCATATGTGCATCAACTCAGCCACTCCTCCCCACAGCTCTCTGGGTTCCCATTAAGGAGGTAACCAGCTCTAAGCACACAGGAAGCAGCCTGACTCAAAAGCCCACAACTACAAACAATGTGGCGGAGCCCATGCTCTTAGCCCACAATGTCACATTAAGAACCTTTGCTTTTAGATAAGCATTTTAATTACATATTTTGTTTATATCTATTACATTACACATCCAAATTCAGGACTCAGAAATGTCCCTCCTCTAGCACACTGGCATGGTTATTCAGTGTTCAATACCCTTGTAAAGCATGCTGTATCCAGAGAGGTCATATTTGCTGATCCACTGTGGTTAGGGGAAAGGTTGGTTGTCTATTGCACCAACTTGAGAGTTTCAGGCAGAACTCCCTTACCGAGTTCCCTGGTGGAACTGCCTACACCCGGCCTAGGGTCAGGTCTCTCTGTCAAAACCAGTACCGAAGAGACCCATTGGCCGCCAGTATAAACATCAATTCAAATGTGAAACCCAAACTGATTCTGCCCTCAGGACTATTGAAAACCATCACGGACAGTAAGGAGGACAGCTGTATACCTCCTGCACAGAAACTCTTCACCTCTCTAATCTATTTGCTTGCAAAAGAAGTAGAAAATTTAACCAAAATTGTTTCCTTCATACAATGTCCATTGCCATAGAAACAATTTTTTCAAAAAATTAGACATGATATTCTCCACATTTAAAATTCTTGTTATTGGTTTCTTCACTGTACAAGCCAACGGCACCAGTGCCAGCCACAGCCCCTTATACATAGTAAATTCTCAACAAACATGAAGAGGAAATGTATTTTCTGCATCTCAACTTTTAAACTGAACAGCAAGTATCAAGAATCCACCTGACCATCTGAGACTTTGGATGATGTGAAATAAGTACAGTCCTTGCCTTCAAGAACTAAACACTGTCACAGAGACAAGACTTGTGCATAACTCAAGGAAATAACCAAGAACAAAACTGAATGACTTCTACCTCTAAAGTCGACAAAAACATGTTAAAGGCTGAAATTTATATGGATAAGAAAAGTATGATAATTGAAGATTCTTGGAATCAGTTAGTCCAATGGACTAATGGAGGACATGAACATCAGTCTCCATGGCTCTGAAACCCGAAAAACTACCAACTGTTCTGAAAGAAATAGGAATCACACTTGAAGGCCCTGGATAGAGTAGAAGATATGGAACAAAACTCATTTTTTTAATGGGCTTACTGAAATTGTGGCCTTTGGTCACCCTTCAGGTCTGGAACTGAACAGTCATGGCTCCGTTTTTACCCAAGTGCTAGGTTAGGTGTATAGTCAAAGACTTCATTTTGCTTGGATCCACAATTAACACTCATGGAAGCAGCAGTCAAGAAATCAGAAAACATAATGCATTAGGCATATCTGCTGCACAAGACCTTTTTAAAGAGTTCAAGAGCAAAGATGTGAGTCTGAAGACTAAAGAAACAACTAACCCAAGCCATGGTATTTTCAATCACCTCATACACATGTGAAAGTTGGACAATGAATAAGGAGGACCATAGAAGCATCTGAATTATGGTACTGGAGAAGAATATTAAAAGTACCATAGACTGCCAGGGAACAAACAAATCTGTGTTGGGAGAAGTGCAGCCAGAATGCTAAAACTTTGTCTGTCATACTTCAGACATTTTATCAGGAGAGACCAATCCCTGACAAAGGACATCATGCTTACTATAGTGGAGTGTTGGCAAAAAGAAGGCAAACCCCCGATGAGGTGGACTGACACAATGGCGGCAGCAATGGGCTCAAATATAACAGCTGTAAAAATGGCTCAGTACCGGGCAGTGTTTCATTCTGTTATGCATAAGGTTGCTATGAGACAGAACCGACTCAATGGCACCTAACAATAATCACAACAACATGGTCTGCTGTGTCAGGAATGAGAAGCTGAAGAAGAATGGCATTACATTCATCTTCAAAAAGAACATTTCAAGATCTATCGTGAAGTACAACACTGTCTATGATATGATAGATCATGCATAAAACTGCCTAAAGTTGCTTATCCCTTTCATGACCCACGGGACCTACAGCATTCACCTTCCTTTCGCTCCACTGGGGTTTACTGGGCACCTGTTTCCTCAGGGACAGTACATGCAGCTGTCAGGAGGGGATCCACATAACTGTTTGAAGCGAAAGAAACTTGCATGTACCACAAATTACTGTTTTTACAGTGTATTTATGAAGTGATACATCCTGAAAGTGTGACTTTACAAAACTGTTGTCTCTTTTGGCTTTTAACTGATAGATAAGCTTTGTAAGTTTATTTTTGGGATTCTGTACATTATTTGGAAGTTGCCTTTCTTGCACCAATCCCACATTCATATGACTACTGCATTTTCAGGCTCCCTAAATTGGCGTGGCACTGGACTGTGAGCCACAAGGTCAGCAGTTCAAACTCACCAGCTGTTCCTATGAGTCAAAACCTATGAGTCAGAACTGACTCCACAGCACTTAACAACAACAAAATTGCATGCACCTGTCAAGGGACCCAGACGGTGATGCAGATTCCAGAGAGACATATAGATCCCATATACTGTTTCCGTACAGTCCAAATTAACAAGTGTGCCCCATATAATCCTACTCCAGAGTGGAAAGGGCCAGATTTGTCACACATAATCTTATTACCCCCTCAGAGTCTAGAGGGAGTTATGAGTCCCAAGTAACATGTATCAAAATCCACACTTCGTATCCAAATTTCCCAAATGCTCCTTGCTTCAGCATGCCTTCTATGTATGGAAATACATGGTGGTGGTGATGGTTGCGTGCTGTGGAGTCGGTTCGAACTCATAGCAACCTGATATAGGGTTTCTCAGGCTGTAATCTTTATGGGAGCAGAAAGCCTCATCTTTCTCCCGGTGAACAGCTGGTAGTTTCGAACTGCTGACCTTGAAGTTAGCAGCACGACTCATAACCACTAATCTACCAGAGCTCCTTAAAACACATGGCACCCATAGGTGGAATCCTGAACCCCAACCAGAATCTTCTGAGGTGGGAAATTTCCACTTGAAAGGGCAGGCAGACCAGCCTGGAACAGCTAGAAGAACAGAAGATACTTCTTGAAAGAAAGACCAACAGGAAAAATACAAAACAATAATGGCAGCCTGACTGACTACTATAAGAATAAGCAAGGTGTTATCCCAGGAGCCATCAGGGCAAGTGGTCGGGTCCCCTCAGAACAAACCCCTCTTGCAAGACTAAGACTCAATGGGAATACACAAGCAGATATGTGCTCTGACTGGTGACCATGTTGGTCACCAATACAGGGAAGTGAGGGAGAAACAACAATGAAGCTATGAGCTAAGTCCAACAATGTTCAATAGACTCCTGTGAACCCGGGTGGAGATCTGCAATACCTGGAGACTCCTGGGC